CGTCGGTTAATATCCTTGAAAAATAATTTTTAAAAAATCAACATCATGTGATATCCTTGAAAAATAATTTTTAAAAATCCAAATACACCTCTTTAAAAAATCTACACTTTTGGGACTCCTTGAAAAAAATCCTTTAAAAGTCCACGCCTGTGTTAGACCTTGAAAAATATTCTTTAAAAAATCTACACTTTTGGGACTCCTTGAAAAAATATTCTCTAAAATATCCACGCCTCAAATCGACCTTGAAAAAATATTCTTTAAAAAACCCACTCCTCACATAGACCTTGAAAAATATTTTTGAAATACAAGCCTCAATATTTATTAAAAAAAAAAAAATAATTAAAAAATCAGCAGCCCCATAAAATCTCCCCTGGCTTTTTAAAAAATTATAAATCAAGCGGTGGAAAAAAATTCCACCTTAAGTCGTTAATAATTTTTAATTATTCTCAAGCCATAAAAACTCTCCAAACAAAATTGGTTGCGAAAAAATCAAAGGCCAACAACTCGAATCCTTTTCGGCTTGTAATGAAATTACCGCAACAATTACCACAGCAAGTTTTTCATATGGTATGTGTCTGTGTGAGTCCATCTGTGTGTGTGTGTCTTTGTGCCATTGAACAATTTCGAATATTAATTTTAATCATTTGCAGCTTTTTCATGACCCCACTTTTCCCCTCACCCAACCCATCCCAACCACTTCAGTTCATCCTTTGAATATCCTTTGACTGCACACAAAGTCCATAAAACTTTTGACTGCTCGATGTCTGTCGTTGATGATGCTGTCGATGTTGTAGTTTTTGTTGCTGCAGCTGTCCAATGATAATTGTTTACAATTAAAATGTCATAAATTTTAATATTATCATTATTGAGTTATATAAGCATCAGCAACAACAACAACACCAAAAGCAACAACAAAATATTCTGGTTTTGTTTTAATGTGAGAGAGAAAGGATTTCGTTTTTCAAGCAGATAAAATCACAAAGTCAAATGAAGAATGTCGCCCGGGGTAATAATTGGATGCTTAATAAAGGACACGAAATATTAAAAGGACTTCTATTTAAGGACCAAAAAAATAAATTTTAAAATAATATTTTTTCAAAAACCAGCAAAGGCGTAGATTTTTTAAAGAATATTTTTTCAAGGACCAGCAAAGGCGTGGATTTCTCAAAGAATATTTTTTCAAGGACCAAACACAGGCGTGGATTTTTAAAGAATATTTTTTCAAGGACCAAACACAGGCGTGGATTTTTAAAGAATATTTTTTCAAGGTCTATATGAGGTGTGGATTTTTGAAAGAATATTTTTTCAAGGACCAAACACAGGCGTGGATTTTTAAAGAATATTTTTTCAAGGTCTATATGAGGTGTGGATTTTTGAAAGAATATTTTTTCAAGGACCAAACACAGGCGTGGATTTTTAAAGAATATTTTTTCAAGGTCTATATGAGGTGTGGATTTTTGAAAGAAAATTTTTTCAAGGACCAAACACAGGCGTGGATTTTTAAAGAATATTTTTTCAAGTACCAAACACAGGCGTGGATTTTTTAAAGAATATTTTTTCAAGGACTACCAAAGGCGTGGATTTTTTAAAGAATATTTTTTCAAGGACTACCAAAGGCGTGGATTTTTTAAAGAATATTTTTTCAAGGACTACCAAAGGCGTGGATTTTTTAAAGAATATTTTTTCAAGGACCAACAAAAAATATTTTTAAAAAATCCACGTTGTTTGGAAGTCCTTGGAAAAATATTTTTAAAAAATCCACGATTATTGAATTAAAAAATCCACGTTATTTGGTAGTCCTTGAATAAAATATTTTTAAAAAATGTACGTTATTTGGTAATAAAATATATTTAAGAAATCCACGTCGGTTAATATCCTTGAAAAAAAATTTGCTAAAAACCACTTCGGTTAATATCCTTGAAAAAATATTTTAAAAATCCACAACCTTGTATATCCTTGAAAAAGTATTTTTAAAAAATCCACGTCCTTGTATATCCTTGAAAAATAATTTTTAGAAAATACGCGTCCTTAGATATCCGCGAAGGGTTATTTTTAAAAATCCACGTCCCTGGATATCCCTCAAAGATATTTTTTTAAAAAATCCACATCGGTTGATATCCTTGAAAAATAATTTTTAAAAAATCCACGCCGGTTAATATCCTTGAAAAAATATTTTTAAAAAATCCTGGTTGTTCGGTAGTCCTTGAAAAATTATTTTTAAAAATAAACGTTGTTTGGTAGTCCTTGAACAAATATTTTTAAAGAATCCACGTTATATGTTAGTCCTTGAAGAATTATTTTTAAAAAAATCTACTTTTATTGATAGTACCTGAAAATTAATTTGAAAAAATTCACTTTGTTTGGTAGTCCTTGAAAATTATTTTTGAAAAATACACGTTGGTTAATATTCTTGAAAAATAATTTTTAAAAAAACCCAGGTCGGTTAATATCCTTTAAACATAATTTTTAAAAAATCCTCGTAGATTAATATCCTTGAAAAAATATTTTTTAAAAAATCAATGTGCTTCTATATCCTTGAAAAAATATTTTTTAAAAAATCAATGTGCTTCTATATCCTTGAAAAATAGTTTTTAAAAATTCAACGTCCGTTAATATCCTTGAAAACTAATTTTTAAAAAATCCACGTCGGTTAATATCCTTGACTTTAATTTTTAAAAAATCCACGTTTATTGATAGTCCTTGAAAAAATATTTTTGAAAAATCCACGTTTATGGATAGTCCTTGAGAAAATATTAAAAAAAAAACACGTTTATTGATAGTCCTTGAGAAAATATTTTTAAACAATCCACGTTTATTGATAGTCCTTGAAAAAATCCACGTTTATTGATAATCCATGAACAAATATTTATAAAAAAAACACGTCGTTTGGTTGTCTTTAAAAAATATTTTTAAAAAATCCACGTTGTTTTATAGTCCTTGAAAAAATATTTTTAAAAAATCCACGTTGTTTTATAGTCCTTGAAAAAATATTTTTAAAAAATCCACGTTGTTTTATAGTCCTTGAAAAAATATTTTTAAAAAATCCACGTTGTTTTATAGTCCTTGAAAAAATATTTTTAAAAAATCCACGTTGTTTTATAGTCCTTGAAAAAATATTTTTAAAAAATCCACGTTGTTTTATAGTCCTTGAAAAAATATTTTTAAAAAATCCACGTTGTTTTATAGTCCTTGAAAAAATATTTTTAAAAAATCCACGTTGTTTTATAGTCCTTGAAAAAATATTTTTAAAAAATCCACGTTGTTTTATAGTCCTTGAAAAAATATTTTTAAAAAAAAACCACGTCGTTTGGTTGTCTTTAAAAAATATTTTTGAAAAAATCCACGTTTACTGACAGTCCTTGAAAATATTTTTTAAAAAATCCACGTTTACTGACAGTCCTTGAAAATATTTTTTAAAAAATCCACGTTGTTTGGTAGTCCTTGAAAAATTATTTTTAAAAAATCCGCCTGCTTGTATATCCTATATATAAAATATTTTTAAAAAATATACGTTTTTGGTAATCAAAGAAAAATTATTTTTAAAAAATCCGCTTGCTTGTATATCCTTGAAAAAATATTTTTAAAAAATCCACGTTTTTGGTAATCCTAGAAAAATTATTTTTAAAAAATCCACGTCGGTTAATATCCTTAATTTTTTTTTAATTTGCCTCTTTAGATATTCTTGAAAAATAATTTATAAAAAATCCACGTCAGTTAATAGCCTTGAAAAATAATTTTTAAAAAAATCCACGACATTCTATATCCTTGAAAAAATATTTAAAAAAAATCCACGTCAGTTAATAGCCTTGAAAAATGATTTTTAAAAAATCCACGACATTCTATATCCTTGAAAAAATATTTAAAAAAATCCACCTCAGTCAATATCCTTAAAAAATAATTTTTAAAACATGCACGTCGGTTGATATCATTAAAATCCTTAATCCTTAAAAAAAGCCACGTTCATGTATATCCATAAAAAAATATTTTTAAAACATCCACGTCGGTTAATATCTTTGAAAAATTAATTTCTAGAAAATCTACGTCCTTAGGTATATTTGAAAAATATTTTTTAAAAAATCCACGCCGGTTAATATCCTTGAAAATTAATTTTTAAAAAATCCATGTCGGTTAATATCCTTGAAAAATAATTTTTAAAAAATCCACGTCCTTGGATATCCTTCAAAAATAATTTTTAAAAAACCCATGTCCTTGGATATCCTTTGAAAATAATTTGTAAAAAATCCCCTATCCTTGAAAAAATATTTTTAAAAAAATCGCGTTCTCAGGTATCCTTGAAAATTACTTTTTGAAGCAAACTTCGTCCTTGAAAAATATTTTTAAAAATCCCCTAAAAAATATTTTTCGACCATCATTTTTTTGCGAACCTCTTAAAATCTTCTTGTTAAAGTAATTATGATTTTTTGTGTGTTGTTGTTATATTCGAAGTTTGTTTGCGATTTTATCGCATACCGAGCGTATTACAATCATTATCATCCGCATTATCATTATCACCATCCGCAACATTATTTTAATTTCCCTCTGAAAAAAATCTACCAGATAAATGATTTGTATAAGGACATACCTACACTTAACACACAGACGCACCCATACAGATGAACAAAAATTATCACACATTTGTATGGTGTTGCCATCTACCATATGGCAAGTGTATGCGGGCTGTTGTTGTGTGGTCAAAATAATATTAATACAAATTTTCACATCCGACATGACCGGGTTAAAGGATATCCACACACAGACACAATTATGTGTCCGAGTGTGTGTTTGAGAGAGTCTATAACACAGTTTTGAATAAATATTTGCCTAATTTAAATAAATTGGACTTTAAGTGAAAGTCTGTTAAAAGTTCTTAAGTGATTTTGGTCTTAAACGTTAATCTGAAGAGGGAAAAAAAATGAGGGGGAGAGAGAATGTCTCTCTCTCTCTCGTAATTAAAAATTTATATTTAAATTAAAATAAAAAATTAATTTCAATTCACTTACCATTATTTGCCAAATTCGCTGCTGATGAGCCGGCCGAACCGCCCGCCACCACGGCCGGCATTTGCCGGGCAATTATCGCCATCACACTGATGACAATGAAGATGTGATACATCAGCCACACATTGGCCATGGAATTGGGGGTATTTCGCAAGCCGCAATACATTTTCAGGGGAATTTTTGAGTCCATATAACCGGAAGCCAATCGATTTTGTTATATACACCTGAATAAGTTATTTTTTATTAACACTAATTGCCACACAATTAATTAACAAAATTTCGTTGCGTATTTTTTTTTTTGCCCGGAGTAAGGGTTATTAATTATTTACAGTTTTAATAATTTATTTTTTAGTAATTAATTTGAATATTAATTTCTTTCTGGTCGCATTCTGAAAAAAAAGAAAAAAGGTGAAAAAATGTTAATAAATTTATTTTTATTTAATGCAATAATACCCCACACAATAACAAGGCGAAAAAGGTCTATATGAAAGGTCTATTTTTTAGAGAATGTTTTTCCAAGGTTTCTTTGACGCGTGGATTTTTAAAAACATATTTTTTTTAAGGACCACCAAAAGCGTTGATTTTTAAAAAATATTTTTTAAAGATCACCAAAGGCGTGGATTTTTAAAAAATATTTTTTAAGGACCACCAAAGGCGTGGATTTTTAAAAATATTTTTTTTAAAGACCATCAAAGGCGTGGATTTTTAAAAAAATATTTTTTAAGGACCACCAAAGGTGTGGATTTTTAAAAAATATTTTTTTTAAGGACCACCAAAGGCGTGGATTTTTAAAAATATTTTTTTAAAGACCATCAAAGGCGTGGATTTTTAAAAAAATATTTTTTTATTGACCACCAAAGGCGTGGATTTTTTAAAAATATTTTTTTTTTTTTTTGAAGACCATCAAAGGCGTGGATTTTTAAAAAAAATATTTGTTTTATGGACCACGAAAGGCGTGGATTTTTTAAAATTTTTTTTTAAGGCCTGGATTTATAAAAAATATTTTTTTAAGGACCACCAAAGGCCAAATATAAAAAATATTTTTTTAAGGACCAACAAAGGCGTGGATCTTTAAAAAATATTTTTTTAAGGCCTGGATTTATAAAAAATATTTTTTTAAGGACCACCAAAGGCCAAATATAAAAAATATTTTTCTAAGGACCACCAAAAGGCGTGGATTTTTAAAAAAATATTTGTTTAAGGACCACCAAAGGCGTGGATTTTTAAGAAATATTTTTTCAAGGACTACCAAAGGCGTGGATTTTTTAAAGAATATTTTTTCAAGGACTACCAAAGGCGTGGATTTTTTAAAGAATATTTTTTCAAGGACCTCCCAATAAGGCGTGGGTTTTTTAAAGAATATTTTTTCAAGGACCTCCCAATAAGGCGTGGATTTTTTAAAGAATATTTTTTCAAGGACCTCCCAATAAGGCGTGGATTTTTTAAAGAAAAATTTTTCAAGGACCTCCCAATAAGGCGTGGATTTTTTAAAGAATATTTTTTCAAGGACCTCCCAATAAGGCGTGGATTTTTTAAAGAATATTTTTTCAAGGACCTCCCAATAAGGCGTGGATTTTTTAAAGAATATTTTTTCAAGGACCTCCCAATAAGGCGTGGATTTTTTAAAGAATATTTTTTCAAGGACCTCCCAATAAGGCGTGGATTTTTTAAAGAATATTTTTCAAGGACCTCCCAATAAGGCGTGGATTTTTCAATATTTTTCAAGGACCTCCCAATAAGGCGTGGATTTTTTAAAGAATATTTTTTCAAGGACCTCCCAATAAGGCGTGGATTTTTTAAAGAATATTTTTTCAAGGACCTCCCAATAAGGCGTGGATTTTTTAAAGAATATTTTTTCAAGGACCTCCCAATAAGGCGTGGATTTTTTAAAGAAGATTTTTTCAAGGCCTAAATGAGGCGTGGATTTTTTAAGGAATATTTTTTCAAGGCCTATATGAGGCGTGGAATTTTTAAAGAATATTTTTTCAAGGCCTAAATGAGGCGTGGATTTTTTAAGGAATATTTTTTCAAGTCATATATGAGGCGTGGATTTTTTAAAGAATATTTTTTCAAGGCCTATATGAGGCGTGGATTTTTTAAAGAATATTTTTTCAAGGCCTATATGAGGCGTGGATTGTTTAAAGAATATTTTTTCAAGGCCTATATGAGGCGTGGATTTTTTAAAGAATATTTTTTCAAGGCCTATATGAGGCGTGGATTTTTAAAGAATATTTTTTCAAGGCCTATATGAGGCGTGGATTTTTTAAAGAATATTTTTTCAAGGCCTATATGAGGCGTGGATTTTTTAAAGAATATTTTTTCAAGGCCTATATGAGGCGTGGATTTTTTAAAGAATATTTTTCAAGGCCTATATGAGGCGTGGATTTTTTAAAGAATATTTTTTCAAGGCCTATATGAGGCGTGGATTTTTTAAAGAATATTTTTTCAAGGCCTATATGAGGCGTGGATTTTTTAAAGAATATTTTTTCAAGGCCTATATGAGGCGTGGATTTTTAAAGAATATTTTTCAAGGCCTATATGAGGCGTGGATTTTTAAAGAATATTTTTTCAAGGCCTATATGAGGCGTGGATTTTTTAAAGAATATTTTTCAAGGCCTATATGAGGCGTGGATTTTTTAAAGAATATTTTTTCAAGGCCTATATGAGGCGTGGATTTTTTAAAGAATATTTTTTCAAGGCCTATATGAGGCGTGGATTTTTTAAAGAATATTTTTTCAAGGCCTATATGAGGCGTGGATTTTTTAAAGAATATTTTTTCAAGGCCTATATGAGGCGTGGATTTTTTAAAGAATATTTTTTCAAGGCCTATATGAGGCGTGGATTTTTTAAAGAATATTTTTCAAGGCCTATATGAGGCGTGGATTTTTTAAAGAATATTTTTTCAAGGCCTATATGAGGCGTGGATTTTTTAAAGAATATTTTTTCAAGGACCAACAAAGGCGTGGATTTTTTAAAGAATATTTTTTCAAGGACCAAACACAGGCGTGGATTTTTTTAAAGAATATTTTTTCAAGGACCAAACACAGGCGTGGATTTTTCAATATTTTTTCAAGGACCAAACACAGGTGTCGTTTTTTAAAGGATATTTTTTCAAGGACCAACCACAGGTGTCGTTTTTTAAAGGATATTTTTTCAAACTCCATATGAGGTGTGGATTTCTTTAAGAATATTTTTTCAAGCTCCATATGAGGCGTGGATTTTTTAAAGAATATTTTTTTAAGGCCTATAAGAGGCGTGGATTTTTTAAAGAATATTTTTTCAAGGTCTATATGGGGCGTGGATTTTTTAAAGAATATTTTTTCAAGGTCTATATGGGGCGTGGATTTTTTAAAGAATATTTTTTCAAGGCCTATATGAGGCGTGGATTTTTTAAAGAATATTTTTTCAAGGTCTATATGGGGCGTGGATTTTTTAAAGAATATTTATTCAAGGCCTATATGAGGCGTGGATTTTTTAAAGAATATTTTTTCAAGGCCTATATGAGGCGTGGATTTTTTAAAGAATATTTTTTCAAGGCCTATATGAGGCGTGGATTTTTTAAAGAATATTTTTTCAAGGCCTATATGAGGCGTGGATTTTTTTAAGAATATTTATTCAAGGCCTATATGAGGCGTGGATTTTTTAAAGAATATTTTTTCAAGGCCTATATGAGGCGTGGATTTTTTAAAGAATATTTTTTCAAGGCCTATATTAGGCGTGGATTTTTTAAAGAATATTTTTTCAAGGCCTATATGAGGCGTGGATTTTTTAAAGAATATTTTTTCAAGGCCTATATGAGGCGTGGATTTTTTAAAGAATATTTTTTCAAGGCCTATATTAGGCGTGGATTTTTTAAAGAATATTTTTTCAAGGCCTATATGAGGCGTGGATTTTTTAAAGAATATTTTTTCAAGGCCTATATGAGGCGTGGATTTTTAAAGAATATTTTTTCAAGGCCTATATTAGGCGTGGATTTTTTAAAGAATATTTTTTCAAGGCCTATATGAGGCGTGGATTTTTTAAAGAATATTTTTTCAAGGCCTATATGAGGCGTGGATTTTTAAAGAATATTTTTTCAAGGCCTATATGAGGAGTGGATTTTTTAAAGAATATTTTTTCAAGGCCTATATGAGGCGTGGATTTTTTAAAGAATATTTTTTCAAGGCCTATATGAGGCATGGATTTTTTAAAGAATATTTTTTCAAGGCCTATATGAGGCGTGGATTTTTTAAAGAATATTTTTTCAAGGCCTATATGAGGCGTGGATTTTTTAAAGAATATTTTTTCAAGGCCTATATGAGGCGTGGATTTTTTAAAGAATATTTTTTCAAGGCCTATATGAGGCGTGGATTTTTTAAAGAATATTTTTTCAAGGCCTATATGAGGCGTGGATTTTTTAAAGAATATTTTTCAAGGCCTATATGAGGCGTGGATTTTTTAAAGAATATTTTTTCAAGGCCTATATGAGGCGTGGATTTTTTAAAGAATATTTTTTCAAGGCCTATATGAGGCGTGGATTTTTTAAAGAATATTTTTCAAGGCCTATATGAGGCGTGGATTTTTTAAAGAATATTTTTTCAAGGCCTATATGAGGCGTGGATTTTTAAAGAATATTTTTTCAAAGCCTATATGAGGCGTGGATTTTTTAAAGAATATTTTTTCAAGGCCTATATGAGGCGTGGATTTTTTAAAGAATATTTTTTCAAGGCCTATATGAGGCGTGGATTTTTTAAAGAATATTTTTTCAAGGCCTATATGAGGCGTGGATTTTTAAAGAATATTTTTTCAAGGCCTATATGAGGCGTGGATTTTTTAAAGAATATTTTTTCAAGGCCTATATGAGGCGTGGATTTTTTAAAGAATATTTTTTCAAGGCCTATATGAGGCGTGGATTTTTTAAAGAATATTTTTTCAAGGCCTATATGAGGCGTGGATTTTTTAAAGAATATTTTTTCAAGGCCTATATGAGGCGTGGATTTTTTAAAGAATATTTTTTCAAGGCCTATATGAGGCGTGGATTTTTTAAAGAATATTTTTTCAAGGCCTATATGAGGCGTGGATTTTTAAAGAATATTTTTTCAAGGCCTATATGAGGCGTGGATTTTTTAAAGAATATTTTTTCAAGGCCTATATGAGGCGTGGATTTTTTAAAGAATATTTTTTCAAGGCCTATATGAGGCGTGGATTTTTTAAAGAATATTTTTTCAAGGCCTATATGAGGCGTGGATTTTTTAAAGAATATTTTTTCAAGGCCTATATGAGGCGTGGATTTTTTAAAGAATATTTTTTCAAGGCCTATATGAGGCGTGGATTTTTTAAAGAATATTTTTTCAAGGCCTATATGAGGCGTGGATTTTTTAAAGAATATTTTTTCAAGGCCTA